GCCATAATCATTGCAAAATCAATATGAATTAACTTCAAGGTTATTTGTAAAAATAGAAGAGCAGTAAGATAATTGCAATTAAAATCAAAAAAATAGACTAAGGCTTGCGAAGCACTATTCTTGAAGTTAGATTTCCGTCCCTCCTAGGTGCAAAGGTACACAATGATCTAATTCTCAAAATTCAACAGACTCTTCGCAGCGATCTACACTAATCACATCGGGAACCAAGAATAGCAATGTAGAAATTTTGTTTGAACAAATGTAAGGTGTAGTGAAGGAAGAAGAGAAGAAAAAATTGTATTTTCATCATACGTGAGAAGGCCTTGTATTGAACAGAAATATATATCCATTTTAGCTTAAAACGTTGTGATAATTCATCTCAAACAATATGAATGTTAAAGAAATTAATTACAAACGTTATACTAAGTAATTTAAATGTTTTCAAATCAAGTCATAAAACAACAATAAGTATTTCCTTTACAACAGAATGCTCCGAATTTGTGGTTCAGTATTGTATTTTTTTAATAGATCTTTGAATGGGCTTTTTAAGCTTAATATTGTGTGGGATGTGATTAGAGTTAAGGTTGTTAGTTCTACTTTTTTTTGAGGCTATGTGGCACAATAATTTTCCGGTATCTTATTCCATTCTTTCTTGGAGATGTATTAAGGGTTAATTGCCGGTGGACAATCGTCTCTGGAATAAAGGTTTTTTTCTCCCTTCTAAATGCCAGTGTTGTTTTAATATCGAAAGTATTAATCATGTTTTTATCAATAGTACCATTGCTCAAACGGTGTGGAGATATTTTGCTAATTCTGTTAACAAAGTGATTTTTGTCTCTGATGATTGCAATATTATTTCTATGTTTAGTGATTGGATGATTAATTCTAAAGGTCACATTTTAAATTTATTTCCTATTATCATTTTGTGGTTCATTTGGAAGGCTAGGAATGATGCTAAGCATAATGGTGTTAAAATGAATGCCAATGTCATTATTGCCAATGTTAATAATAAAATTATTCAAAGTTTCTCTGCCAATCTTATCAAAAGAAAATATTTCAAGAATTGTGAATGCTTTGCTTCTTTTCTCGGTATTTCTAAGGATGATGATAACTGTGTGAGAACTGAGAGGGTGGTCAGATGGTTAAGACATGTGCAGCCTTTGCTTAAACTTAACACGGATGGTTCTGTGGGTGTCTTTGCTACGGGGATGGGGGGTATTATTCGTGACAGTTTTGGTGAAGTTATGGTGGTTTATGCGGGCCCTTTATATCCGTGTAAAGTTATTTTTGCTGAGTTTATGGGTTTAGCTAAGGGTTTGAGATTTGCCAGAGAAGAGGTTATATGAATGTCGAAATTGAGGTGGATGCTCTTTTATTAATTCAAATTATTAAGAATGATAGTGATTGCTCTCCTCAGTTTTTCTATCATATTAGAAGAATTCGTATGGCTATCTCTAATCTTAATTGCTCTATTAATCATGTTTTGAGGGAAGGAAATGCGTGTGCTGATTGGTTGGCCAAATTTGGCTATAATCTGGATAATGATGTGGAGTTTGGTAGTGATAATTTGCCTCGTCAGTTAATTGGTTTGATTAAGCTTGACAAAATTGGGCTTCCCTATATCAGGATGGGTTGATGTGAGTCTGTATTGTCTGGTGCTGGGTGCTTCTTTGTGTTAGTTTTTTTTTTTATGTTACTTATTATGTTTGGTTGGGTTGGCTGTGTGTGGTTTACTTTGGTTTGGTTGATGGGTTATTGTGAAGCTGATGTCTCTGTTTTGATTGTTTCTCGGGTTGCTGGTGATGCTATTTTTCGACGGTGGATTAGTTTCTAGGGTTTCTTCACTAGGTTTGATCCTTACTTCAAGGCTCGCTGCTTATTGGTTGGTATTTCTTCTTGTTCTGGAAGTGGGTGTGGTCTTCAGGTTTGCCTTTCTAATTTTCTAATCAGATTTTGTGGTCTTTCTAACTGGATTGAAGTGAATTGTTTTGTTAGCCTTTACTTCATTTGTCAAGCATGGGACTGTTTGCATACATGCTGCTCTGGTAAGGTCTTTATTCAGCTATCTTTTATGTCTTTAATTTCTAATAATGTGTTTACTTTGCCTGCATATTTTCTTTATTTATTTGTTTTTTTTTTTTTTTTTTTTTTTTTTTTTTTTTTTTTTTTTTTTTTTGCAGATTTTTTGCTGCTTACATGCTGGGCTTTTGTAGAAAGACTGGGCTGAACGCGTATGATTTGGTCTTTCTTTTTTGGATGCTTCTTCAGCGTCGCCTTAGATTGTATCTAGGCAATTTTGTATTGGTTTAGATGGGGATAATTGGCTCTTAGGGTTTTATTTTTCTTTATATTTTGTAGCTCCTTGGAGCATTAGTGAGTTGAATGTCCCCTTAAGAACTTGTAATTTTAAATTATATCAACGCGTAGGCCCCTCCGTGGGTTTCCCCTAAAAAAAATTATTTCCTTTACAAATTTTCTTTTGAAAAAACACAAATTATAACAATACGTACATAAATAGATAAAATACATACATATGTATGTGTGTTGGACTAAGCATCTATAATAAAAGATTTGCAGATTAAAACGAAATCATTTTTTTATCAATACATAGTTTGATTTGAATTAAAGAAAGATAAATATAAGAATAATTGAGCTCAAATTGAACTAAATAATTGTTAGGTTGGCGCCGACATCGAACTTACTCAATATATGAACTTTATATCCCCTAATGATGTAATGTTGTTAATTGACACTTTATTATTATAATTGTCAACTTGAGCTTATGGAGCTTGTTGCTAATCCTTGACTAAATTTTAGAACAATATTCCCACTTGGATAATTACAAAGTACTTGAGTCTTCTTCACTTTCTTTTTGAATATTAGCCTCATATTAGAAGAGTCTTACCATGGCATGTCACATACATCATAGACTCAAAATAATTAGTATTCATTATACATAAAAATTAAGCTGATAACATTTTGTTAATTTAAAACCATAGGCCAAAGATATAATTATCATAAATGAATGGATGGCTTATACAATTATCCATAAACAACCACTTTCTTAAACAAGCAAAGAACCGTTTACCAAAGAATAGAAGACTGTTAGGAAAAGATAAATAAATTCAAATGGGATGAGATTAGCAAGTTGTCTATATATAAAACAAGCTTTGTTTTCTTAAGTAAGATTAGTGAATACAATAAAAGAATATTTCTTTTCTTAATTGCTTGTGGAGAGCTGACAAATGGCATGTTTGTTTGTTTAGGATTGTTGGGAAAAAAATATATTAGTATGCTATATTCTTCATTAGGATATATAATAAGAAAAAAAAATTTAAAAAAATATATAGAAATTAAATGCTTAAAATTAATATGCATTTAAATTAAAATATTAAACTCATTTATTTTGCTAATAAATTTTAAATATTTCCTTTTTTTTAGATTTTGTAATATATATTTTAATATTATTATTTCATACAAATAATTTTTTTTAAGAATTTAGGGATAAAGTATATGTAAACATACAAATTTAATATTGATGGATCTCGAACTTTGGTCCCTTCTAAAACTAACTTGAAATTTATGAAAATAATAATAATAATAAAATTTTATTCTTTTTTTCATTATTATTTTAATATTTTGATATAATTTTATTCTTTCAAAATTGGTAATAAATCTACCTTGTTAGTCAAAAAGAGATTAGGAAAAGATTCCATACACATTTGTCATGGTAGATAGCCTTAAAATCTCTAAGGAATCAAAGAACCTCAAAAATCCTTATTGATTTCATACCCAACTCTTAATTCTTCATCCCCTTAATTTGTTCTTAGAAAATTAATGTCTTTGAGCTAAATAGTGATCAAACAGTTGTGTTAATCTGTTCTATATTATTAGGTTCGATGGATCTGACTTGTCTAATAAAATTGGTCAATAATGTCATTAACCTGATTGTACTAATCTTAGGAATAATGTATTCCTTCATTAAATATATTTATAAAGCTCTTAAATAATAAACATTGGTGTTATCATAATATAATTATTTGATAAAAATATTAGAATTTTGATCAATTACAGCGAAAATGAGTTAGATTGGATCATTGAGGTCACATCGATTCATCGAGTCATGTCAAATCGACTAACTATTTTTAAATGTTGTTGAACAATGTCGAATAGATGATAGTTTCTGATCAAATTGATTGAACCGGGCGATCCAATTAATTCAAATTTGAAATTTAGCATCTAAAGTGCAATGAATCTGATTGAACTAATAAAACTCAATCCCAATCAAGCTTTGCACACGTTACCTAATCTAGGAGCGTTACCTAATCTAGGAGATAGCAAGTTTTAAAAAAACAAAAAAATATCTCAGCAAGACATTGTTACTATGGGGTTAGAAAATAGGTGATCCCATAATTATAAATAAATTAACCTAAAATTTATTAAAATTCAAAAAATAATAGGAATCACCATTCATATTGTGAGAAAAGACCATAATTATTTTTAAAATTTTGATATTTTTTTAATAATAATTTAAATTTAAATTTAGTTTAATTCTATATATATATATAAGATTTTATTAAATAAAATATTACCTAAAATGTATCATGATTTAGTAGTTGGAGATTATTGTTTCTAGAACATGTATTTAAATGACACATTTTTTTTTAATTTAGTGCGTATAATTAAAAAAAATAACATATTAAAATATTAATGTAAGCAATATATAATGAATTAAAACATTTAAATGAATAAAATATTACAGAAAAATATTTTTAAAAAAACTATTACCTTAATTAAGAATCTATAAAATATATAATTGAATTAATTTATTTAAGATTAATTTTATTTCATCAAAAAAAATGAGAAAAGATCTACTTTAAATTTATTGTTGAGCCAAAACAAAAGTTATAAATTAATTCAGAGATATGATCTAAATTAATTACATGAGTAGGTGGTCTAGACCTTTATAATTTGTAGGACCCCTTTTCTTTTAAATATGGGTCCTCCCATGTCCCTCTCTCTAACCTGAGCTTTTTAATTTCCTCCACAGCTTCTGCCCTCTTCCTTCTTCCATCGCAAAGCAGAAAGCTCTTCACGCTTCAACTTGCAAAAAATCCAGCTAAGGAAAAAAAATGGTAGGTTCCCATTCCTTCTTCTCTTTCTTTGTTGATTTAGTGATTTAATTCTGATGAAATTAGTTTTTGTGTTTAAACAAAATTATTTTCCATGGCAGGAAGAAGGCTGTGAGGGGGAGAGATGGATTGGCTATGTGGATTGGAGAGGAAGACCAGCTCTGAGAAGAAAGCATGGAGGGATGGCTGCGGCTTCCTTCGTCTTAGGTTTGTAATTAAGAAATTAGTGATTGATGAGAGCTTTTTATCATTTAAAATATCAAATTAGTTTGTTTTGTTTTTGATTATAAGCCGAAGAATTAATGGCTTTTTGTTAACTTTAGATCGAGAGAGCAACTTCCTATTTGGAGGCTTATTAGTTCTTCCTACTTTCTTGGGATTTTGCAGGCCCTCACTGCCTTTTTGAACTCTTTGACTTCCAACTTTGTTGGATATATAGAGATAGAAAAATCAAAGCTGATCTTACTTCCTCCTCCTCTTCTTCTTCTTCTTCTGCTTCTTCTTCTTCTGTAATTCTCTTCTTCTTTTTTTCAGAAAAATGAGAGTAGGATTGAAGTGTTGCATGTCGAAAACAGGAAAATAAGAGCTAATTTTACTGTTAAATTTTACAGTTTCTCTCTCTATCCATCTCTCAACCTTTCTTATATGTTAATTAGAAAATTGTTTTGTATTTGAAAATAAAAGAAATTATTCATGCTTAATTTGATTATCCAAGTTCTAAAATATTTTGAAGTTATCCAAAAATAGACTTTTTTTCACATAAAATGATTGAAATCTAAATTACCAATATTTTTTCATAAAAAATAACCAAATGATCCCTTGCTAGCATTAAAATCAAGCTTAGAGTTCAAATTAAGAAGAGCACAAGATGCCAAAAAAATGAAAATGAAGAGTCAAAAAAACTATTTCCCTTTCTCTATCATATCTATCTCCCTCTCTTTCACTATTTCTCTAACTTTTTTATTTCTTAATATAAATTATCTAATCATTGTAATTAAGCTTAAGTATGAGATTAAAGTAAGATTAACATATTAATTAATGCAGTTGTGGAGATAATGGAGAATCTGGCTTTCTTAGCCAATGCGAGCAACTTGGTGACCTACTTGGATGGCTTCATGTATTTCTCGCCTGCTCGCTCTGCAACTACTGTTACCAATTTCATGGGAACAGCTTTCCTCCTCGCTCTGCTCGGCGGCTTTCTCTCTGATGCTTTCTTCACCACCTATGTCATCTACCTCATTAGCGCCCTCATTGAGTTCTCAGTAAGTGCTTATCAATAATCTGCTGCTAATCTCTTTTATCAGTTTTTAATATTTTGTGTTTGTATAATCTATGTTAGTTTTTGGGAAAAATAAATTAAATGAGTTAGATGAGGACATGTTCGATCATGCATGGGCCCTCATATTATTTAATTTTGTATTAAAAATTTTATCTATTATTATTTTATAACCGTTGGGGATATAATATACTAAGTTTTTTTTTTTAATGAATTTTTCTAATGATATATATTTTTGGAAACAAATATATTTATTTAAAATACTATTATATAAATTTTAAATTGATATTTTTAATGATTTAATTTTATTACATATAAATATATGAATTTACTAAATACTAAAAAACTCTTTTATTTAACAAAAAAATCACAAATACTTTATTTATGAAATACTAGCATAAACTCTATTAGCCCTTAATAAAACATTATTTATGTCAAAATCATAGCTTTAAAAATAACATGGCTTAGTCACTAATGAGATAAGTATGGACTTATGTGATGTCTAGAATCATCTAAATGAATCACAAAAGTACAATGTTCTCTTGAAACTTCGAAAACTTTTTTGTATTGATTTATATGAATTGGGATGAAGGGATCCACCAATTTTGTAGCTTATTAGATCAAATGATTGGGATGCCATCAATGTGACTTGCTCTTTGATTCTTAAGGAATCATAAGATTTTACACTTTTCTTGATTTTTTTTCTTGGTCCCATCACTCTCCAATCCTCCTTAAAACTTGTTTTCGTAAAATTAAAGTATTATACCCCGTCCGACTTAGCTGGCTTGGTGGGCGAGCGTAATTGGGAATCCCCCAACCAACATTCAATTCCTCTCTGAAGTTGTTCAACTCGTTAAGTTGTGAGAAAATAAATGCGTGTTCTGACACCTATGGGCTGGTTGTCGCTAAGCCCGTCGAGGGATTAGTTACTTCACTAAGCATCTCCCTGGGGGTGGTAGCGGGTAGATACACCCGTTCCCAAAAAAATTAAATTATTATTAGTTAAATTTTGGCCACATTAAAATAAAATAAATAGGTTAAATTTAATATATTTTTATTCCTTTTTCAATACAAAACCATGTAATTAAAGGCTTCTTATCATAAGAATTAGAGATATAATTAATGATCATAAAAATTGATTAAATTCAGGTAAAAATAATCTAAACCAAATTTTCTTTCTTGAGAAATATCTTGTTCCCACGTGCTACATGAGCACCCACACGTGCCATGGAAAACTACTCCCCAAATTTATTTGGTGCATTAAATGCTTGGAGCTTTAAAATATGTACATTAATGAATCATTAGTGTCTCTTTTTTGTAAAAAAAAAAGGGGGAATAAAAAAAAATCAATTTTGTATTAAAAGTGAACCCTAAAAGCATGGGTTAAAGTTGTAATGTTAAATCTTATTGCTTAGCATCTAAGTTATCATTAAATTTGTCTTTATTATAAAGTAATTAGTAATTTTTTTAGTTTTTAATAACTTAATTACCATCTTATTCACTGTTAAATATTATACTAATCTTGCTTTAATAATATGCATGCTTGTCAAATACCTTTTTTCTTTTCTTTTTTTTTAATTTAATTTTTAAAATTGAGATAATTATTATCTCTGTAATTAGAATATATTATTTATTTTAAATTGAATTTAAAAATATAATAAAATATAAATATGGAATATTTAACGGTAAGTTGTTAATTATGAATGCCCACTAAGAGGATTTGATTTTTTGGAAGGTGTCATGTGAAAGCTTTTTTTTTTTAATAAATATTTTTTCGGTTTAATAAATTTTATGGTGGGGCCCACATAGTCTTCAGCCAATGAGATTGGATCTTTCACCTCCAGCGCGTGATTCACCCACCAAGTTGACGCCGTTCGCTTTCAGACATTCTAGTTTGGGCATCGGAGTCACGGTAGCGGACCACGTTAGGTTTACAGAGTTCCTGAGGTACAATCCTATACTTCGGGAATTATTCTCCGCGTCTCTCACCACAGTTTCACTCTCCCCATGGACATGGTGGATGGACATATTAGGGTGAAGTTATCAGCATTGGGTTTCTAGAAATATCTTTTCGGGTTTCGTGCAGTTGTTCACGTGCAGTGGGCCAAACGTACGAGGATTTCTAGTTCTGTTGGGCCGTACATGGGCTTTGTTGGGCTAGAATAAATTTTCAAAAATATAAAAACAGTAAATAACGAATTCAATTTCTTGGATAAATATTTTTTTTTTATATTTTAAAAGTTCAAATCACCTAAAATTCATGCATAAATTAAGGCTTTATTTGAGGATTATTTATTTTGTGCGGACATCGAACGTTGTATGGAGACCAATGAGAATGTGCTATGTTATTTCTTTGATCGGTACAACGACTAGGTACTGCTGATGTGGCTGCACCTGATTCCTCTCTAGACGTAGAACGGCATCTCGGCTCCGCACTGAAGAATCTGTCTCATTTGACATAGCTTTCTTATTATTTTCTAAATTAATTTGTATATAAAAATTTTAAATTCAAAAAATTTTAATATAAATAAATTACTTTAAAAAAAAAAATTGTCCCAAACTAAAGTCTAATAGTGAATTTTTGTTTGCAAAAGAGTAGGCTCTGCAATTATATAGTTGGGATTTTAACGCTATCCTTTTTTTTTTTTTTTTTCATTATCAGGGACTAATCATCCTGACAATCCAAGCCCGTTCTCCCAGCCTAAAGCCTCCACCTTGCGCCTCCGCCGCCCTAGCCTCATGCCAAGAAGCGACCGGCGGCAAAGCCGCTATGCTCTTCATCGGCCTCTACCTCACTGCACTTGGCATCGGCGGCATAAAAGGCTCCCTCCCGGCCCACGGCGCAGAGCAGCTCGACGAAACCACCCCCGAAGGCCGGAAACAACGCTCAACTTTCTTCAACTACTTCGTGTTTTGCCTCTCCTGCGGCGGCCTCATCGCCGTTACCTTCGTCGTCTGGGTCGAAGACAACAAGGGCTGGCAATGGGGCTTCGCCATCTCCACCTTCACCATCCTCCTCTCCATCCCCACTTTCCTCTCCGGTTCTCTGCTTTACCGCAACAAACTCCCCAACGGAAGCCCCCTCACCGTAATAGCCAAGGTGTTTCTCGCCGCCATCTTCAACTCTAGCTCGACTCAAAGTCAAAGCAATGTCGTCGTTGATCTATTTACCACCCCCATCAACACCAATGAAGCAGCTAAACAGACTGATGATCAATCAGCATTGCAGAGCAAAGAGCTAAAATTTCTCAATCGAGCTGTAAATTGCAATCCAGCTCACAAAGCGCTGATTTGCAGTCATAAGGAGGTGGAAGAAGTGAAAATGGTGGTGAAAATTCTGCCAATTTTTCTCCTGACTATAATGCTTAACTGCTGCCTCGCTCAGCTCTCCACTTTCTCCGTTCAACAAGCGGCGACAATGGATACTCGGGTGGGCGGGCTGACGGTCCCGCCTGCCTCCCTTCCAATCTTCCCTGTAATCTTCATAATGGCTCTCGCCCCCTTATACGACCACGTAATCATCCCCATGGTCCGAAAGCTGACCCGAACCGAAACCGGTATAACCCACCTCCAAAGAATCGGGATCGGCTTAGTCCTCTCCATCGTCGCAATGGTCACGGCGGCGCTGGTGGAAGTGAAGAGGAAACGCGTGGCCGAGAATTCTGGTCTAGTCGATTCAATCGAACCGTTACCGATATCGTTCTTCTGGGTTGCGTTGCAGTATCTGTTTCTCGGTTCAGCGGATTTGTTCACATTAGCCGGCCTACTGGAGTTCTTCTTCACGGAGGCGCCGGCGGGGATGAGGTCTCTGGCGACTTCGCTGTCGTGGGTCTCGCTGGCGATGGGATATTACCTTAGTTCGGTGCTGGTGTCGATTGTGAACAGGGCGACGCGGCACGGCGGCCGGCAGGCCTGGCTGGAAGGAAGGAACTTGAACCATTATCATCTGGAGAGGTTCTACTGGCTCATGTGTGGCTTAAGCGCTGTGAACTTCGGCCATTATCTGTTTTGGGCGATTAGATATAAGTATAGATCGAAGGAGGAAAGATTGAACTTTGAAAGGTTGAATTATGGATAATCGTTTGATTTGTGTGGATATGATTAAACTTTATAGAAATTAGACCGTTATATATATAAATTTTGAAATAGTGAAGAGGCTGTGAGTTGGAGAGTATGGTTTTGACCTAATGGGGATGGTGAAGGGGAGAAGTTAGTTAATTCATGGGCAGTTTTGCTGTAATCTGTTCTACAGAGTGGTTCGAGCTGTATTTATTTTGTGAGTAACAGATCCCTATCAGTACTGTCAAATTTGGGCTCTTTCCTCAAGAGAGCAAAAAATTGAAAAAAAAAAATTGTATTTATGAGACTGTTCATATGTTTCTCTCACTATTACTTAAAAATTAAAATTTTAATTAAATTCTTAGATAAATATGATTAAATTATTAAATAATATGGGCAAATAGACATTTTTAATATTTTTTTTATTGTCACGTGCCAAGTCCTAGATGAGAAAAATGAATCGTTGTGTTAGGTAGTTGACAGTCAATGTAGAAATTGTCAAATAATCATGATACGAATCATTTAATATATTGTGTTAATGTTATGATGTTTCCTGAAAGAGACACGCTACATTGCCTAAATATACTTACAAGTGTACAAGGTCTGTTGCACCGGCGCTTGGGTGCAGAGCTAAATAGGCAACGATTCCCACATCAAGGACGGATGTGGGCAAAGAAACTAGTCCATTAAACTAAAATTAGAATAGGAACAGGAAATATAGGTTCTCTTCTAGGAAAGTTAATGAAATTAATAGATATTATGATTCATAGGAATATAAATATTTTTGTGCATCCAAAAAACTAAATGGGTTGGAGGGAAGGTTAAAGAGATTGATAGTTTAGGATTTAAAGTATGATATTCAGGTAGGAGTCGTACTAGAAATAGTGTATTTGTGATTATACATAAGAGTTTGAAGAATACTGTTATAAAAATTAATAGAATTGGAGATAGAATTATAGTTTTAAAGATTATTGTTGATGTTAAAATTGTTAATATCATAAATTTATGCTCCTCAAGTAGATTTGGATGTGTTTAAAATTAAAATTTTGGAATAACTTACAAGAATTGATACAAAAGATACCTCATGAAAATAGAGTTTTTTTTTAAGGAGATTTAAATCATCATGTTGGTAAATAGGTGGATAATTTTAAAAGCATTCATAATGGCCATGAGTTTGGGAGGACTAATGAAGGGTGGTAAGAACATAATAAATATTTCTTTAGCTTATGATTTTTTAATTGTCAATACCTTATTTAAGAAAAAAAATGAACATCTTATCTCGTATAAGAATAGGTATATTAAATCTAAGATTAAATGTTTTCTTATTAGATCGTTTAGATAGTAATGATTGTAAATTTATTCATAGTGAAAGTTACATCGCTTGTTAGTTTTGAACTTTAAAATGAAGAGACATAATATAAAAAATAAAGTAAAGCGATATTCTAAGATTAGATGGGGGCATTTAAACAATATTAACAAAAAAAAATTTTAGTGTAAGATTTTAGATCTTAAAATTTTATCTAGATATAAGGATGCTAATATTATCTGGAAAAAAGTTGCTCGTGATATTAATAATATTGCAAAAAATGCTTGGAGTATCAAAAGAGAAAGCTCCTAAAAATAAAAATAGTTTGAGGTTGAATCTAAATGTGCAAGAAAAGATAAAAGCTTAGAAGATTTGTTATAAAATTAGTTTAGATGTAAAAACATTTGATAATTGGTAAAAATATAAAAAGTAACGTAAGGAATCTACGAAAGTAGTATACGATGAAGATATTAGTTTTTAATGATTTGTATAATAGATTAGAGACTAAATAGGTAGAAAGATAGATTTATAAGTTAGCCAAATAAAGATATAGAAGTAGTAATGAATTAGTTCAAGTAAATAATGTATTAAGGATGAAGATCAAAAAATACTTTTTTTAGAAGATGATATTCAAAAAAGGTGAATGAAATATTTTGCTAAACTTTTTATTGAAGATTGTGAGAATATAATTGACTTTAGTGAGCTTAGCACCCTAAATGAAAATAAAATATTTTATTTTTAGAAGTTAGATAGGCTTTAAATAAAATGAAGGGTGGAAAAATTATTGGACCTGATGATATTCCAATAGAGGTGTGGAAAAGGTTAAGAGATGAAGGAATTTCTTGGCTTACTAAACTTTTTAATACTATTTTAAAGACTAAAAATATGTCAAATGAGTGGAGAATGAGTGTGTTGATTTCTATTTTTAAGAATAAAGATGATGCATAAGATTGTGTGAATTTTAAAGGATTTAAGTTAATATGTCATACTTTAAAACTATATGAGCAAGTTATTGAGCACAAGTTGCGCATGATACTAATGTTTCTCAAAATCAATTTGGATTAATGCCAGGAAGGTATACTATGGAAGCCATACATTTATTAGGAGGTTTGATGTGAAAGTACAAGATGCGCTAAGAGGGGAGGTGAATTGGATATTTATAAACTTCTTTAATGAAGATAAAAATCTTGTTATAACTTAATGCAAAAGTGAAATACATTCACAATAAAAAGATAGATTATCAATTTCACCCACGCAATTAATCGCAATAAAAATAAATACAAAAATAAAATGCAAAAATTATAAAGGAAAAAACACACCCGATTTATAGTAGTTCAGTCAAACATTAACCTACATCTACTCTTCGGAGGCACCCTCCGAGTATTATACTAAATCTTTAGTGACTCTCCTTTAGCTCCCACAGCTAGCTAGACGGAGAAGCCCTTATAAAATCACTTCCACCTTCCCCGGTGAGGCGGAGGAGCCGGATCCTTTGATACCAAAGAGATCTTCTTCTTATCAAAACTTTCCTCAAGATGAACCTTGAATCCGATGTTACTAAGGTGCAAGCTTGTCGGAGCAACTGTGTGAAATCCCCTGTACTCTCTCTTGAAACACCCTCAAAGGATCTTCTCCCTCTCTCAAACTCCACCATTTCCTCTCCCCATTTCAAGTTCTCTCTTCAAGTTTTCTCCAAAAAAATAAAGCTTCAATGGCTGCCAAAGATGCTTATAAAGTCTTATGAGAAAGCTTAAATAGAGATCTTCAAAAAATTCTAAAAGATCAATTAAACCATCAATGATCGTATAGTACAATCGCAGGATCGTACATTATGTTTTATAGAATTTGACATGTTAGTACTGTACGATCACTAGTTAGTAATGTATAAATAGTTCAATTTACCTATTCGTACTGTATGATCACCACTTAGTATTGTATGAACAATTCAATCGAAATGGAGTTCGTCTAAGACAAAATATAGGATGACAAAAATCATTTCTGTTGATCGTGAAGTACGATCCAGTTCATACAGTACGATCAAAATATCAAAATTAAGTTGATTCGATTGACTAATCAAAGGATTAAATTAGATAATATTTTAAACATCATATAGTACGATTAGGTTTGTACAGTACAATTAGAATAACTTTTTAAATTCAAATTTTTGCCTAATTTAACAGACAGCGAGCTTTCTAATTATAATAAATCATCCAATAAGATGTGGTGTTCAATGTATGATTAGTTATATTTAAAAAAAAAATTAGGAAAATAAAATATTTTTAATTTATTTTTGTAACACCATATCGTATAGTATGATCCATAACTTACAGTACGATGTACAAAAAAAATTAAAATATTTAAAATCATTTTTACTCCCCATATATGTGTGTACGGTCACCAAGCTAACATACATCATTAAAGAACTTAAAAAAAAAAATAAATGAAAATTATAGACTCATTTAACATAACATATTCTACCTAATTTTGCGCCATAAATCTTCAAAGAACAGTCCATGATGTACCTGAAATATTAGTCAACACACAAATAAATATGCACTACAAAATATGAGGAGAAATAAAAATGTAATCAATATTATTTGTTTTTATCAAAATTATAAATTTGAAGGCCCGAGTTACAACATGATGGAGAAATATATATAGAATAAGGAGGAACTACATACGATATTTATTTATTTAGAGAAAGCATATGATAAAATTTCAAGAAAAGTGCTATGGTGAGTTCCTGAAAAAAATGGAGTTAATAATGTTTATATTCAAATCATTAATGATATGTATAAATAAGTTATTACTTGTGTTCAAATAGAAGGTGGCTTGGCCAAGTATTTTCCTATTTCGGTTGTATTACATCAAGGATCAACCTTAAGACCATATCTTTTTGCTTTATTCATGGATGTTCTCACTATACATTTGCAAGAGGATGTACCTTGTTCTTGTTTATATATATATATATATTTTTTTTTTTTTTGGTTAAAACCCACTGACGGGCCTACGTGTTAATTCAAAAAAGCGGTTACAAAAGTCCTAAAAAGGACCCTTCAGCTCGCGACTGCTCAAAAGAGCTACAATGAAAAATAAAAACAAAAACCCTAAGAGCTGATGGGTCCTTCTCCTAAGATTACAAAAAGAACATATAAAAAGACTCGGGCTGGGAGGATCTAGCACCCAAAATTTGGGAGAGCAGATAAATTCCATTAAGCACAGTCTCCCTGCAAAAAAGAAACAGGAAAAAGAAAAACCAATGAATACGTAAAAAAGAGATTACCTTGCAGTCAAAGATCCTCAAGAAAACATATTCCCTGCAAAAAAAATCTCCAAAAAACAAGATTAGTAATTGAAGAGAATAACTTAGTGTTGTGTAAGGGATACCAACTAATATGAGAAACCAGATTCAGGAGCAGTCTAAGCCAAACACACCTACCAATCATCTTAAAACACTTATCCAAAAAATGCCAGAAATTTGTAATAAGCCCAAAATTCCATCCGGGCCAAAAAAACCTCCCAGAAAAAAGAAACGAACAAACTATGACTGGATTTGCACACCTCTAATCACGAGACTGGCACCAACAAACAGCATGAAGAGGAGCAACACCAGAGACAAAATAGATCTCCCAGTTATATAGCAGTAGTAAGCATTTGAGGAGATCGATCACCAGCCCAGCATTTACATAAACATAAAACAGAAAACAAAAACAGAGCAAATACCTATCCGAAGAGATCGGCCAGAGAGAACACCAAAATTCAGCAAAAAAAATAGTAAAAACAGAATAAAAAAAATAGAAAAACCGACCCAAAAGCTCCACGAAAAGAAATTAAGCATGACGAAAATAAGGAAGGCCAGCTTTGTCCAGAGAGACCATGCCTTTAAGAGGGGAAGGCAAATCCATAACATTAAAATCCTGAAAACTGAGGCTATTAGCCCCAGCTTTAGCCAACCAATCAGCACAAACATTCCCTTCCCGGTAAATATGAGATATCTTATAAGACATC